CAGCATGTCCAGACTACCGCGCTGTGCCGCCAAACAGCTGATCGGCACAGCATGGCAGCCATTTTGATGTAAATGAAGCGGCGATTATTTAAATCATCTGTTCATTTTCCTATGTCTAGTAAACTCATCTACATGGCTCCATTGATGGAGCCATGTAGTCTAGACATACCCAAACAGTGTTCAAAAAAGAGCTAGATAAATTCGTGGAGGATAGGTCCATCAATAGCTATTAGCTAGGATGGGCAGGAATAGTGTCCTTAGCCTCAGTTTGCCAGAAGTTGGGAATGGGTGACAGGAGAAGGATCACTTGATGATTCCCTGTTCTGTTCACTCCCTCTGGAGCACCTGGCATTGGCCACTGTGGGCAGACAGGACACTGGGCTAGATGGACCTTTGGTCTGACTCAGTCTGGCTGTGCTTATGTTCCCCCAATGTCACTGGTGGATTTCGTCAGGGCTGGAGACAAAGTGAGGGCTTGGGGTGGAGATAGGTAGCAGGCACAGTGGGGAAGGGAAGGGTCAGGAGAATGCACAGCTCCGGTCAGGCTGGGTGAGACAAGGAAATTCTCCAAGTCGCACTGATGAGCTGTTGACACATTTACTCCAGTTCATCGCCAGGATGAAGCCAGGGAATGGAATAGACAGGCCAGGCCGCCGTTCTCCATTGGCGCCCCTCACTGTAACTCCAGGGACTTCAGTGGAGCTGCTCCTGATTTACCCCAGCGCGGGAGGAGCATGGGCGGCAGGTACAAGAGGCAAAGCCTCCCCAAACTGCCTGCCTGGCCCAACCCACACTCCACCTCCACCCCTCCCTCAGTATCCTGGGCCTGCCTGGGCTTCAGCCCCTCTGAGGCTGGGGTCATGCTGCTGGCCCTTCTGGGGCCAGGGAAGCTGGGACTGGGTGCTGCTTGTGCTCTGGGGTCAGGGGAGAGGGGACACCCACCGTCCCTGTGCTCCAGGGAAGGCGGGGGCTGCGCTCATTCACTGCCCCCATGCTCCCGGGATCAGGGGAGGCTGGAGCCTGCCCTCCCTGTGCTGGGGGCGGAGGGAGCTATGCACTTCCCTCTGTGGGGATGCCGGTCTCCCATGGGGGGCCTGAGCAGCTGAGGCAGGACCTCAGGTAGAAGGGGTGGCTGCCCCCGTCATAGGTTCACCCACCAGCCTGGGGAGGAGATGGGGGCCCAGTGTTTTGTAAAGCTTGTGCATGGACCCAGGGTGAGCAGGCAGGGAGTGTGTGATGGAGAGGGGCAGGGAAGAGCCGGGTTAGTTCTATGTAACCCGGCAACCAGCAATATCTTCAACCCGGCCTGTTGGCAACGGCTGGCCCTGCTTAGATGCGGTGCCAGGCTGGGCGAGACACCCCATCCCCCACGTTTGGAGTTGGTAGGGGTGGTGGGGTTAAAGCATTAGTAGGGGAACCCTGGGCATGACCCCGGAAGTATTTTGAGATCCCTGTGCAGCTGGGTTCATGAGAGAGGAAACCAAACAGCTTGTCATTGGCAGCCTGGGGTCACTTGACTGCAGCGCATCCAGGGCGATTTTCTGCCAGGATCAAAGGGCGAGACCCTTGCCACTGCTCCTGGAGAGCACATCGGCGTAAATGGCCACTAAGGCCTCCGCAGAGCCCACTGAGCATCACAGCCCGCCTGATGGTGGTTGTGGTCCTGAAGGTGGCCGGCATGTCCCTGCAGCCCCTGGGCGGGTCAGCTCAGGGGGTCTCCATGTGCTGTCCTTGCCTGCAGACTCTGCTCCTGCAGCTCGCATTGATCGGTAGTGGAGCACTGTGGCCAGTGGAGGCCGTGGGGTCGGGGCGTCTTGTGGATGGAGATGGCTATTCACAGGCTGATTGGCTGGGGTGGGGGAGGCGCGTCCCACGTGCAAAGCATATTGGGTTCTGCCTGGATACAGAGGGCTCTTTAAGTCACTCTGCTGGGCATGCTGAGCTCCCTTCTGGCGCATCTCCGCCTCAAGGCGCTTCCCCAACCAGCGGGACCCAATTAGCCCAGTGGCGGGGCACCTTGCATGAGGGTCAGCGTCCCCGTTTCACAGAAGGGGCAGCAGAGGGGGTCAGTTGCTTCCCAGCAAGCCCTACTTTGCTTTCTGTCATGGGCGGAGGATTCTCCCTGTGAATAGCACAAGGCCACTCGCTGTCCTCCGTCCAACGCCGCCTTACGACTCACCCCCCCAGCCGTGCCTGCAAAACACTCAACAGCTGGTGCACTAGGACAGTGTTTCTCAACCGGTGGTACGAGTACCCTTAGGGGTACTCGAGAGAAGTCTGGGGTACTCGAGAGAAGACCAGCTCTGTAATTTGCTACTGGGGTTCCTGCAAGCATGGGTTATAAAGAGACATTCTTTTGACACAAAACTCATATTAAAGGTAAACCCAATGCATAATCTGTTTCTCATCCCATCTTAGAATAACCAAGCTGAAACAGGCTTAGGAATCTGATGAATTTTTCACCATCTGTGTTATTTTAAAAAAATTTCTACATTTCACTTCCTTTGGATGTGATAGCAAGGGTGATCTGTTTTACACCGAACTTATAGTCAGTTTCACTATCTGGGTGGATTTTGCTTCACAACACTGGGGGAGAGGGGGAAATCTAAGAAGGAAGTTTGGAGAAAGAAAGAAAAGAAGGGAAAAGTTTGTTTAAATGATTAAAACATGTAGGGAGGTTTCAACCTTTCATTTTCTCCCAAAGACGCTCACCCTTTTATGTTTTCAAAATCTAAATTTCAGTTCTAAGGCTGGCTCAGCGTGTCTGTGTAAACATAAACCCATGGTGTCAAAAATAAAATAAAATTAGACTCAGGCATCAACACCTTTCAGAGCAACTTCGTTAGCATCAAACCTTGTGCCAGTGGGCGGTGTGAAAGGAATACTAATCGAGAGAGGTTTTCAGGTGTTTGTAGATGCTGGCAGATCTGGAATTGTTAGAGAAGCTATAAATAATTCTTACGTTTTCTAGCGCACTTTTTATCTTTTGATCTCAAAGTGACGCACACAAAAAAAGGAAAAGTATAATTATCCATGTTTTGCCGGGGAAAATTGAGACATGGGGAGACTTAGAATTGTTTTTTTTAATAGAAAATGGCTTTTTGGACAAAACGGAAACTTTTGCAAAAAATGTCTGCTTCTCACAAAATGCTGCAAGTTTCAGACAAAACTTGAAATGTTTAATTTTATCCAATATTTGCTTTGCGAAATCTTTCTTTTTCCAGAGCGTTTTATCAGAGAGGCAGGCAGGGCTGGGGGGAAGGAGACATTTCCTGACTCTCCCTGGCTCTTTTCTTGACCAGCTCTTTCTAGAAAGGAAAGCAGCCCAGTTATTTTGGAAGTGGAAGGAAAAACAAGTGTGCCCAGGGCTACCGGAGGCATGCTGCTGCTGCTCCATGTGCCGGCATCCCAGCTGCACTGTGTGCATGATAGAAGAGATCCCAGCAATGTGTGTTTGGCCATCTCCACGGAATGTGAAAGGGCAAATCTGACCTGCAATAAAGGCTCCCTGGCTCCGAGTCCCAGAACCTGGGCCAGCTGACTCAGGTTCGCAGGGCGTGGGTGGCAGGTGTAAACCTTTGCCCTTCACCCTTGGGCTGTGCGGAGGAGGAAAGTGTCCTTCTGGGACACTCAAGACACAGCTGTGTGCATTGGGAGGTGTGATGAAGTGGGGATTATATTCACGCTGTTCGCTTTGTTATGTTACATGAGATGTCTACTGTCCTATAGTGGTGCAGTGCCCAGGGAAACTGAGGCATGCACACAGGGTTACTATAGCACAGTAAAAATCCCATGCAGAATAACAAAGTGAACAGAGTGAATACAATCCCCACTTCATCACAGCAGGCAACCACTTTCTAACTGGAAGTCAACCAGGATCCAGCTATTTAACGGGAAATAAGGGGAGGGAATGAAGACAGCCATTTTTAAGAGTGGCGAATCGAGAAGAGTCCTCCCCCCCCAAAAAAAACGTTCTCTAGAAAGGACTTTGGCCAGAAACTCCAAGCCTGCTCTAGCCTCTTTGCAGTGCTCCCCGACAGGGCAGCAAGGAACCCCACTGCCCAGTGCTGGCTCTATGGCACCTCCCTCAGAACCCAGAGTGGGGGTGTATTGGGAATGGGGGGCCAGGCTGTAGTGTCTTGTGTTCCAGATCCGAGGTGGGGAAAGCCCTTGTTAGGAGCTTACACATGCCGGAGCAGCCGTGAGACTGCTCTAACTTACCCAGTGCTCCAACGGCCTCTCTATGCTTCCAGAATCAGACGAGTGAAAAGACACCGTTTAGACGCTTTTGTTCTCCATCTACCCAGACCCTCCTTGCTTTGGGATCTGTACTGAGCACAGAATCTGGCCCTTTCCACCGGGTCCTGCAGAGTCCATTGACTATAATCAGGGACAACGTGCCATAGAGGGGCTCTGAACAGAGATCTGGACCGTGGTTGGCCTCAGGGTAAGGACAAGAATAAGGAGCAGCTGTGTCATGTGGCCTCGTGTGGAATGCTCCAGGGAGTCTCCAGGCTGTTCCCAAAAGGTAGGGGTTTGTGTCATGAAAGACCTCCTCCGAATGGGCACGGCTTGTCCCCCGGCTGGCAGTTAGAGGACAGACCACGGAGTGGATGGGCTTGGAGACTGAACTTCCAGTCCCAGCACAGGCATAAGCCGGGGCGCATTGGTGTGCAGGGCAGTGTTCCCTGTAAGCGGTGTGCTTGTGCAGCCACTCAGGACAGATTCCAATGCTGCCCAGCTGATTAGCAGAGCGCCCACAGCTAGGTATGTATTTCTACTTGTGGTGCACATGCACATGCTTTGGTGCACATAAAATTATTCTGCACATGGCTGGAAACAAATCCATACATGGCTGGGTAAGACTGGAAGGAACACTGGTGCAGGGCAAGACAAACACAGAGGCAGAATGGATACTTGGATCATTCCTTAATCCTTTGCCTGGGTCAATTTCTCTCTGCGTAGGAGCAGCACCGGGATGTGGCTCCGGAACGACTTACCAGTCAGCACTGTTGGCAGTCTCAGAATGTGCTGGGGAAGGATAATGCTGCGGGTCGAGCCTGGGGCTGGCATCTCCTGATGGCAGATTAAAAAAGAAAAGCATTCAGGAGAAAGCAGGGTTCTTTGGCTGCCCAGATCAATTCCCAGGGGATGGAAGGAGGAGGAGGAGGGATGTGAATTGTTTTGTGACAATGGCGGTGGAAATCTATCAAGAGCCCCTGCTTGCACCGAATTACCTGGCGCGGGGGAAGAGAGAAGCAAAGCACCTTATTTATTTCAAAATCCCAGGACGATTTAGGGTTTTATTAAGACCCTCATAAAACTCATCTATTGCCATCCCAGCTCTGTCTAGGGAGGAAAAATCCTTCCAGCAGCACATACACTTGGAGCGGAGCATTTCATTTCCATAAAGCAATCATTAGAAGGCACTAGTTTATGGTGCCCGTAGAGTGGAAAAAGAAGGGTTTTACAGCATGCCAAGGCCTCATCCATTATTCATGGCCCCGGTGTGGCGATAGACAGATTGAAGCTAGATTTAGAGCCCTGCTGCTGTCCTGGGGGATGTGACAGAGTTGCCGTTTGTGGGCAGGCTCATACACAACAACTGCCGGCGACAGACCGCGACAGGGAGGGGGGCGCTCACGGCGTGAGCAGGGTCTCAGCACACACGTGGCCAGTGGAGATCACGGATTTTAAACATCTTCACTCATTGCTCCCTTCTTCCAGTGTGGCCACCTGGACGGCAATGCCAGTGGACAACCAACAGCCACAAAGCGGCTCCACGTACTGCAGTGGTTCTCAAAGTGTGGTCCACAGGCCACTAGCGGGCCATTGTGCAGGTGGGCCATGGGCTCGGGGCTTGCCCCCTCTGCAGCGGGGAGCCTGCGCTGGCGCTCCAGCCCTGTGCCCCCCCATAAGGGGGGAGCGCCAGCAGCAGCTTCCCACTGTGCAGTGGGAGGGCAGTGAGCCTCGCGGGCCAGATCCAGCTTGTGAGGGAAGGAAGTGGCTTCACGTGCTGCCAGTCCCCCTAACCCCTACTGCGGGAATGTCAGCGCAGGAAATTGCTCACCTGGCGGCTTTCTCCACTGCTCCTATTGGCCGGAATCTCTGCCAATGGGAGCTGCAGGGGCAGTGCCTGGGAGTGGCTAGGGGTGCGGAGCAAGGTAAGTGCCTCCCATCCCCCTTATGTCCCGATCCCACATTCCCACCCTGTTCCTGCACCCTCCCTCCCAGACCCCCATCCTCAGCCCGCTGCTGCACCCAACCGTCCAGCCAAACCCCGCGCCCCGCACCTCCTTCTGCACCCATTTTGCCATCATGAGTGGTTGGCTGGTGGTCTGCAGAAAGGTCTGTGTTAAATGGGGTGGGCTGCGGGCTGCAGGCCAAAAAGTTTGAGAACTGCTGATGTACTGGAAAGGAATGAATGTAACACACCTTTCCCCGAGCCATTACTGCATTCCTACAGGATCTGGCAGCTGAACTGACCTAGACCCTCAGAGCCTCATGTGCTGAATGGGTCTGTTCACCGAGCTGTCCGTCATTCCTGGCCTCCTTGCACCGGGACCGCAGGAGCAGAAGTGGTCCTTGTGAGGCATCTGGGCATTTCCTATCACCAGTGCTAGAGCTGCTGCCTTTCAGGTTAACAGGATGTCCCCTTGGTTTTGGTGTGATGGGAAATTAAACAGGGCTGAAGAACTAGGCCGAGTTAGGTCAGAACTGCCATGCCGGCAGACCTCCCTGTGGGGTTGTTCCACACGCCTCTGCCTCAGGGCCACCAGGAATGAGGATGGGCAGCAGCAGCTGAAAATCAGAATCAGAGGGATAATTCTTGGCCCCAATCAAGGCGTCTGTCCACTGCTCGAGCTGCACAGTTAGCTCCCCTAACTGCACATGCTGCCGAAGGGAATCCCAGGGTGGGATACGGGTGGGATAGCCAGCTATATGCCAGCCCCTGTTAGGCCCCCTCCAAAGCTGGGATGTTAAGAATTAGTCAGGGGAAGGCAGCATGACTGAACCCCTTAAGGCTGCCCTGTGTGTGCTGGGGGGGAGGTGAGGGTGGATCACCCACCAGACCACACACACACCTTAAGTCTGCATCAAGCACAGCTCAGCCAAACCCCAGGACTGAGCCCAGAGAGCCAACCAAACCTTAGAGACCTCCAAGCACTGAATCACGGAGGATTTGGGAAAGAGGTTCAGGGGATCCTTACGTTAGCCAAGCCTGCCCACCCGGGCCTGACTCTTGTCTGTGGATAGCATGTGCGATTCAGTGCGGAGGGCTTGCTCTCTGAATCCTTCCAGGCATTGCATATCTCTGCCATTGGGAGCTCCCGACCTGCATTGTAAACACAAAGTCACACTTGAAATCATCCATTACAAATGTAATGCCCCTTTCCTAATGCTATCGATGGCGTATATTTCTTTCCCATCAAATTACATTCAGACGCCATCCACTCCTAGAACTTAATTGAATTCAATACAATGAAATGCAGTTCTCTCTCCACAGAGCAATCTCATATTTTATATATTAACTGGTCCTCTCATTTATTGTGGGCCATTAAATCTCCCAGACTTAATTACCAGCCAAGTGACAAAGTCTTTGGGATTGTCTTTGAAACACAAGAGCCTATTGGCTTTGAATTTGAAGTTGTTCACAGTCAGAATCTGCATGTGCTGAAACCTGAGCTCATTGGCACTGGTGTAAATTCAGACCAACTTGAATGACTTCAGTGGAGTTACACAAGATTTTTACCGGTGTGTTTGAGAGCAGAATATGGCCCATTAAAAGTAAATTTCTGCTCCCTCTGTCTGTGCTACATATTCTGCTCTGCTTGTTAATCCAGCATTCTTGTTAATGACAGTGGAATTGCTTTAGCCAGTGTCATTGCATGATACACAGCAGGGCTAAAGTTGAATTAAGCTACACATTAGTTGTGTAGCTTAATTCGGCTTTTGACGCTGTCTACACAGCAGGAAGTCAAAGGAACAGCTTCTCCGACTGTTCCTCATGCAATGAGGGTTACCATGAGTCGGAGTAAGAAGTTCTTCAGCTTGACATTATTTTGAAATAAAGGCTTGTAGTATAGACATGCACTATGTTATTCCAAAATAACGCTGCTGTGTAGATGTATGTCTACACAACAGGGCTAAACTTGAAATAAACTACGCAACTTGAGCTACACAAACTTAAGTCGAAATAGCTTATTTTGAATTTGGGCGTGTCTACATAGAACTTATTTTGAAATAGAGCACTCTTCCTCCAACTCCCCTTAATCCTCGGAAAATGAGGGCTACAGGAGTCGGAGTAAGAAGTCCTTCGGCTGGACGTGATTTTGATGTTGTGTCGAAATAATTGCTTGTGTGTAGATGCACATTTTGTTATTTCGAAATAACGTAAATTATTCCAAAATAACCCTGCTTTGTAGATGTACCCTAAGAGTCTCTGTTGTCTGCCTTAAGAGGGTGAGTAAGGTTTGGGGAGAATGAAATGTTAAGCTAAGTTCTACAACTGCTGAGGGGAATGTGGGTGTTCAGGAGGGCGATAGGTGGTGAGATGAGATGTACCTAAATCTGGGGGAAGGAAACACACTTTCCCAAAGGGGCGTGAGCACAGGAACAGCCTTTTAATGTTGTCATGGAGCTGTGTTTTGGTACCATCTTTGGAATTGTTCACTGACTAAATGCATGTCTGAAGTTCAAGTTCATAAGCAGTAACAGCAGATCTTGTGTCTGGCATTGGGGTGCCCGACTACCGCTGGGGTACTAGTCCAGAGATCCCTGTACTGTTCTGTACTCTTTTACTCACGCCATTTCACATGATACCCTCCACCCATGCCTGGAGTGTCCCCAGCCCCAGCTAAAGGTGAGAGCCGAATTAGTCTCCAGGGCTCCTTCTGTCCTCTCTGCTGAGACTACCGGTACCAAGGGCACTACCTAGTGGCCACTGCAATTATTGATTTTTTTAAAAGACAGACACCTGTTCCAATATGTGGAACTCATTGCCACAAGATAATGATGAGGCTAAGAGCTTGGCAGGCTTTAGACCAAGTTCAGATACTGCTATGGCTAGCAAGAATAACCCACTGTGACCCCTATCAGATGCTTCATGGCCTGTTATAAGAAATCATGGGCTGGCTTTTGTAGGATCACTGCCCACAAACAACATTTCTTCCTAAACCCCAAGGATTAGAGGTTGGCTGAAGCTCTAAAGCATGATGGTTTCAGGCTCAGATCCTCAAAGGTATTGACATTAATGGGAATTAGGGGCCACAACACCATTGAGGACTGGGCGTAAATCTCTTCTTTGACTCCTCGACTTCTGTCTTGGTTGGCTGGTTTGTAATCGGTATTATTCTAATGGGTTATTCTTGCTGGCCATGGCAGTATCTGAAAACCAGGCAATTGGCCAGCTCCCCTACTGTTTGTCCCTAGAGCAGCGGTGGGCAACTTGCAGCTTGCAGGCCACACATGACTCATCAGGGCAAGCCACTGGCAGGCCACCAGACTGGTTGCTGACCTTTCAACGATAGCTACGGCTGCCTGCCTGCAGCTCCCATTGGCCACAGTTTGCTATTCCCGGCCAATAGGAGCTACAGGCAGCCCTACCGGCAGAGGTAAGGTACACACCACCTGTCGGGCGGCCTGCCAGTGGCTTGTCCTGATGAGCCACGTGTGGCCTGTGGGCCTTAGGTTGCCCACCACTGCCCTAGAAGGAAGCATGCTTCCTAGAACCAGAGATGAGGGCGATGGCCCAGGGCTGCCAGTTTCAGCGAACCATGCATGCGGTTGGGGCTTCAAATTTTGGCTGATTTCAGGACCCGCCAGGAAAGTTTCACCTGGCTCTAAGCCTCAGTGGCTTTGTGTAGGGCTCCAAACCATCCCCCGCTGCATTAGAGGGGTTCCTGCCTTCCCAACCCCGCTACAGTGTCCCCAACTCAGCCCTGCCCTGCAGCATTACCGTGGCACCTGCCCTTCTCCCTCTGAGCCCTGCCCCCACACCGGGC